AATTTAGTATTATTATTGAAAAGTATCATACTTCCTTGAACTTGCAAATTTTCGAACAACTTGTCACGCTGGTCCTCTAAAACTTCCGCAAAATAGGTAGCAAGCTTTCTGGTAATGCTGCAAGCACATATTGCACCGATGTTAAGAACACGATTTTTACTAACGTTTCGGCGTAAGTATCTAACTTTGCCAAATCATCCGAGAGGCCCACGAGTTGATCCAACGTTCCGACCTAAAAATAAGAAATTTATGATGAATAATTAAATGGCGTCAAAAATCACTTTCAGATCAGGGATGGAGAACTTAAAGTTAGTCGAAATTTCAGTCGTTGCCGAATTCAGACGATCCCATGTCTCTTGACAGGTTTTCTCGCCTGGCACAGAAACCAACCAGTATTCAGTCATTTGACCCACGAAAGTACTACTAAAAACAAACAAATGAACAAAAACAACAGAATAAAAGAATAAATTTCGCAGCCGAGCGAGGCAAAGAAAATTTATATGTAGCAAGCTGTACAAATTCATTTATCTGAAGGCACGTTATTTTTAATATCGTAGATTATAGCATCAGGCTTTATAAACGGTTCCGGCTTTGCGCTCACCGAACAAAGCAAATGTACGAAAATATGAAAAATATACCAGCTCAACATTAACAAATTATCTAAAATGTTACCCTGTATAGAAACATAATTTTTACTTACTTGTCTTATTGAATGTCGCAAAAAATTATGACATTCCTGCGCTTTTTGTCACCATTTGCCAGAAATATGATTTTACAAATATCAAAAAATGTTGGGAAGCTCGTAAGAGTCTGCTGACCAGCCAGTGTCAAAGCTGAAAACTCAAGGCCTAGACGGTTACTGTGGATAAAGACGTCCAACTTCACCCAATATTAATCTCCTGGTCAAAGATGCAGGCCGTATGTGATAACGAAAAGCATCGCACGAAATCTATGAACTGAAAGCGATGGGTAGGTTTTCTATTTCCACATTAAATTAAATTCGTAGCAGAGTAAGCAGGTCGACAGAAGAATAAATTATAGACTGCTCAACTGAACTAGCAAAAATCAGGCAGTGTGTAGAAGCTGAGTTATATGAACGATTATGTAAAGACAGGTTCACAATAGCATATGAATGAATCCATAAAATGGTTAAGAACTTCCAAATTCCATGGAAAGATGAAGATAACTTTGCATTGACTTTCGACAAGAAATATCGACCTCGAAGGAATTAACGTAAAAATGATGACAAGTACTATTTTGTTCATTTACAAAAATGAAAAATTTAATTCCTTCACAAAAGATTGGAAAAATGAATTCGCATATACAGAAAAATGAAAAATTTGTGATTATTAGGATGTTGGTTTCTCGTACATTTCTAATGAGGGTGGCACTTTTACAATACAGCTGCTATGACGAAGAGATATTTGTTGGGCGCTAAGATCAGTTACCATACGATGAGCCATGAATGGGATAATCTTCGCTACAGCTAATAGGTCAGCATGTATGGTCTTCTGCATACCCATTTCAGAGCAGAACGCATTTGTCTACCTCGAAAGGATGAAAGACGTGTGACTGGGCAGCGATTCCAACCCATGTTCATTCTACCGCAAATCCGACGCTTTATCGACATTTTATCATTCACGTTTCTTCCATAAAGCTTTTAGTGAGATGCTGATCTACATTAAATGTTATAAACCATGCGTAGTTTCTTTATGGTAGTAGTATCGATCGTAATTTGAAATTAATATGTGCAGAGCACTAGGCCAGCATTCTATGCCTGTCATAGATGCACTGTATTTCTCGCCTTCAAGCGGCGTCATGCGTCGACAAGGTGCGCTAATGTAATTCGGCTTAGATTTTATCTGCAAGCCTAACGGAGGTAGTCCAGTTCAAGATATCCGAACAGATACCTGACCGATATGTAGTAGTGCACTGTACTGTAGCAGCCAGTAGTACAGGGAACGAACTTTATCGTCTGATGGCTTCAGTAAACAAAACAGCTGTGAAAGCCAGTCTCGCCCGTAACACCTGGAAGTCAGAAGCTATTAGGAACCCATTCGACATAGCAGAGACTTGTAAATGAAACGGCCGGGGAGACTGATCAGCTTAAGTATTTCTATTATGATCTCTATGGACCACAATCTAATCAGAGTTAAAGAGAAGGATCGCCCTTACATTCGGTACCTTTCGCAACCTTTCAATATCTTGGCTGAAAAAGAGTACAAATTTCACAAAAGTTATTATCGGTTAATTTAGTGTTACTGCACCGAGATTTGTTTTAATAAAGAATAGTACGAACAACGAGAGAAGAGCACTATCTTCAATACACAGTAAGGTTTAAACGGTAAGATCACATAAGTAATGATTGTATGACCTTCTCGACAAAGGCGCCATCAGTAGATGAAGAAATCGAGAAAGAAATCGTTAATTATGTTACGTTTGAAGTTACTGTCTGAGAATTATGTTAGAAGTTACCGTCTGAGAAATATTTGTAAAAAAATGTTTGCTTTTTGGCATGAACAACCACACGTAACACAGTCGAAGATGAGGCTGTACAATGGAAAATGAAGAGCACCTGAAAACACAAACAAAAGTAGGATACATCAAATATATTTAAGTAATGCTGACTACGCGCATTCGGGTCGTGAACAATGAACAAGGAGAAAAGTATACTTAATTTAAGAAAAAACTCCACTTTGACCAGTTCGAGAAGGCACGACAGGATGATAGAAAAAGGCTATCATTCAGAAAATGTTTGTCACCTGAGCAAAATTGCAAAAGAAAGCACAAAACAAGTTTTTAGAAATATAGTCACCGCGTCTCGAGTCAAGCTTCAAACACAGATTAACGCACTTGTGATCACATTCAAGCAAGCTATCGAAACGGCACCTGCGGCACAGATAAATCATACATAATTAAAATTCACTTTTAACTCAATGTTGGTTTATATCTAGCTGAACAGTCCGGAGCAAGCATAGTGATCTTAAAAAAGACATCGATCATATTCATTAATACTACACAAAAGCCCATTACTAAAAGATAATAATTTAAAATCACATTATGGTATAAAACAAATCCAACTTCGGAGAGTTATCGTAAGACCTAAGAATCATTCCGATACATCGTAAGTAAAGCAACATGGATATGTACAGTTTGTTCGTTCAGCTATTATGCCAGAAATTATATGCGTTTAAATGCAGATGGCTCGCAGATTACAATTCCAGCATGACAAAAAGAACGCTAACAGAAACTAATTTATTTTATTCGTTTCGAAGAAATTTCCATCAAGCATTGGTTGGTCATGATTTTCATAAATTGAATAAGCAGACGTGACTCGGTCACAGAAAAGTAGCAGCTGTACGCCGATCCCATAAATAATCTATTGTTAGGATGATTCCAAAATATTCGCTTCCTTCATTGATAATTTTTAACATGCGCTGATCGTTTCGCTGATAGGCGCAATGATGCAGAGATGAAAATGAACGAAACGAAGACAGTTTTTATGCTAACGGGTCTTCCGATTCCATAGTTGGCAGTATGAAAACGCAAGAACAAAATGCAGCCGATGCTTGATGTTTTTAAAAAAAACATGTCACTTCGTCCTTTAGATATGTGGTTCGCGGCTGAAGTAGGAAGAGAAGAATTGGTACCTGGCAATAGCATTTAAGTGTTGAGAAAGTTCAACAATGGCTTTGTACGTAAAAGTGGTAAGCCACCTCTGGTATGGTAGGAACTGGTGTTCGAGTGCCCCTGGTTCTTATGACCAATTCTGTCTCGGTGCCGAGGTATAATTTTCTATAATTCTCTCGGCGCTTTTTGAATGATTTTTGTATCAGTGTAATGTTGCAAGAGCACCTCGATCGTTTCGTATGGAGAGACATGAGTTTAAATATCAATACGCACTGACGATTATAATTGCACACACGAATAAACCATGCTGGATACCTGCTGATTTTGCATTTTGTGTCCAACTTCAACTGCTTCCAAAATATTTCTTTTCGACAGCTCGCTTCAGTGCCGACGATGTTTCCGATGGTTGTGGATTTTCTGATTTTGAGACAGGGTGTGATCTTTCTCAATTTGAACAAAACTATATAAATAATTCACTGGAAAAATCCATCTGTATGAACGAATTTGTGTAAACTCTAATCCAAAATCAGTGCCTAGGTCCACTTCAATCGGGAACTTCTTTGAGCATAGCGGTTCAAGGTACAACAGATAAGAGTCACTTCTTCTGCAGGCCTAGGAGTTGCAATCACGACAGTCAGGTATTATTAATCTGAAAATTATAGAGGTACAGCGGTTAACTGACAACTAACAGTTAAATACAGCTTCCTCTGTACCACTCGTGAACTTGAGGCAATAGGTTAGACATAACGCTGTGAATGAACCTGCCCATAAATTTATTTTTTGTTACTGTTACTTATTTTTGACATTGGTACAGTTTTTACCATCTTCTTCATCTTCATCTTCCATCGCCGCTTCTCCTTTCGGGCCGCGGCAGTTTTGACCATGTGTAAAAAAATAACATTGTTGTGGTTTCCCCGGGAAAGAGCGATAATTTATATACGGTTTAATCTTTGTTTAAAACTTCAAGAAGTCGATTACGGACGAATTTTTATTAGAATAACTGCGACACGTAATTAGAGTTGCTTTCTTCTGTCAAGCCAATCAAATTCCTGAAAATTTTGCTCTGGCAAAATGATGGCACTGCGAAGCAGCGTTGGTCCTTAGATTCTCCTGCAGAGGCTGTCGACGAAGTGCTGCGTAGTCCAGAGGCTACGTGCTATATGGATCGGCTGCCTGCTTTGTTACAGAACTACAACGCTGCAAAATGCCTGCGGTCGTCAACGAAGTGCGTTAAAATGACATAAAATGAATGTTCTGCATAGAGTAGACAGATGGAAACCCCTTCGCTAAATGTCTTAGACTAAGTTAGAGGTAGTAAATGCCCATGATAATATGCTACAGTTTTATGAATTCATTCGGTTAATCCACCATTTTTTTGTAAGTCATTATTAGTATTGGTATTATTTTCCTTATGTTCAAATCATGGATAGAAGGAAGCTGTTATGCAGGATGGAATGAATCATTCGACTAATGCGTAGATATTGGCGAAAACTGTCATGTCCAAAGCTTTAAATCGATCTCTTTACCACCGCGCACCATATCATGTGGCACAATACCACTATAACAGAAATCCCTCTTTTGAAGTATTTCGGTTTAGTCACTGCTAATAAAAGTGACTAAGATTGTAAGAAACTACAATGACAATGGATACTTTGCTGCATAACTCAGCATTATGAACACAGCATATCCGATTTAAGCACGAGGTAACACGTGAAATAATTCGTAACATGTAGCGAAACGTGTACGCATTTCTAGCGTAATTCATGACATCCTG